TCAACAACAAAAACAAATTTTACATACAGAATAAAACTTTACAAAATGCAAATGTTGGGTGGAGACATTGCGCCCTATGGTTTGTAGAAAGCAAATTTACTCCTAGAACTAACTCAAGGAAAAGCATGACCCATGCTAAAAGGATCAGGATGTGGCTAGCAACCGAGATTTTAGACCTTTTTATTTAGTAGTCACCGGAGGTCACAATTTGTTTTGATACTAATAAGTTAATATTCTGAGATATTCTCAGCGTATCCGCGAATACCTGAAACAACTGCTAATTTTAGTCTTAGATCTAAGTCTAGCAGTCCCAGCGCATTATAGTCTTGGATTTTCCACTTGCTTTGACCAGTACTGCAATGTCTAGTCGTCAGCTTGAATGTGACCATAAAAACACATATTAAATAGTACTTCGGATGATTTTTCTGGAAATGAAAGCACATCTCCTACATTAATGAAGCCAATGTTTCACTGTACTTGCTAACGCAAATTTAGAATCCTTGCCTAACTGCTATATTTTTTTAACAAAAATCAGAAATTTACTGATAAATCTTAGGAACTTATTGGTAAATTTCAGAAATTTATTGATAAAGTCCGGAAATTTGCTAGTAAAATTTAGAGATTTACTGACAAAATCCAGAAAATTTCAAGAATTTTATCAGTGAATGAAAATACACTTTTTGTAAAAGTTTTTCCAATTCTGACTTTCTTCATACACTTTCTGTGCTCTTATACTGTCAGTATTTACTTTTTTCCAAAATTTTGCTCGAAAAGTCTTTCAAAAATCCGTCGCTCAGAAAAGTAGCTTCAAATCTGCTCTGTTTTCATTTGCATTTTTTAAAAAAATTATATACAGACAAAACTACAAGTTCAGTCAATACGCGTCTGCTTCCTCATATCCATCAACACTTCGCTGAGTGGACGAAACGTTGGTACTGGATTGGGATTTACCGCACTGGCCTGAAATGGGATAACAAATAGTGTATGCCATGAAGCCAAAAAAAGAAAAGCGATCTGAAAACATTTTAGAAAAACAATCCAAGCATCATACCGGGATGTTAATTTCGCTCATAAAATTACATTTGGGAGCTTTAATTGCGATTATTTCCTGTTCCTCCAGAAATTGGGCCAGGATGTCAATCTTCTGGTTATGCTACTGCGAAATCTCAAATGTGACCATTTTGCGCTTTTGCGCATGGAATCTCTCAAACGACAAAATAACTCAAAGTGATTTTGGAGTGACAGCACTTGGAGACATGATGATGGCGATCAACAAATACCTTTGCATCCTCAAGTGAGTTAATTTTTGGCAAAACGATTTTCCCTCCAGCAAACAAAATGAACGCCAAGAACGCCTTTTGTCATAATATATCATCACTTGGTTCAGCTTAACAATCAGTAGCTGATATCGTAAATTCGGATCGTGACAGCATAAATTCGTGGGGGTCTTTTGTTACTGGGCAGTCAAATAAGTGCGAGAAAGCCCCAACGGCTCACCGAAAATGCAGCGATATTGAATGAGCTGTTATTGTTGGATGAGAAAGCAACATTTATGCGACTTGCGGGACTTAAAATTTCATCCACTTTTGCATAAATTAAATCGTTTATTTCAGGATCATCGTTCCTGTAACCCGTAAAATGTTCCCTAGATGAGCAACCACCACCGCCATCTTTCGAATCGAAGTACTGAAAAAAGAAAAAAAAATTTTTTTTATCATTCAGCCTTACTTGATATTAAACGATAAGTGACTTATTAGCCTTTCCACAGAAGAAATGAATCGCCAGCAAACTGACTACTAGGCGATTCAGCATTAGTCAAATCAGCTAGCAGTTGCACAGACGGGAAACCATAATTAATAGGCATGTAACTTTGACTAAATTTTGACCACCTTCCATAAAAATTAGAATTTCTCGGTTCAATGCAAAAACGCGTGATTGCACACACAAACCCGGTGGCCTAATGATTTTTGCTTTGAGTGAATTTGCGAAAACATAAAAAATGGAAGTGGCCATAACTAATCAAGAAAAAAACATCACAAAAAATATACCTTATTATGAGTAACTCCGATTTGACTCAGATAATCGGTGACAGAACTTGTCACCGACATATCATCCGGATCAATCCCAGAATCGGGCATCGAATGTGATCCCGAATGATTATTATTGCCTAACGTAACTGGAGCTTCCAGGGGGCTGAAATTATACTAAAAATGTCCTCTAACATTAAAACACACGCTAATATTAAAATTAACTACAAAAATGCAGTAATAAAAACAGAAGGGAAGAAAGGGCAGTGAGACCGGGGGAGAAGAAAGGTGAAGAAGTGCCATCTCCTGTTTTCTTGCGTTCCCCTTCCGGATACCGATCCTCACTTTTTGTACAAACAGGAGTGGCAACGTTTCCAACGAGATGGTGAAGCTCAGCATATGCCAAAGACATCTTAAAACGACTAAATCCTTGTCAGAGTCTTCTCTTCAGAGTACCATTGAGCTGGAAATCCCTTTCATGGTCGGCGCGACTAGGATCGGCAAAAACAGGCTGATCACCATAGTACATAATGCACTGGTAGAGGCAGCTAGACAATGCTAGCTGCATAGCTAGAACACTAGACTAAGAACTGCAGGCGATCAAAATAATAAAATGAACTAAAAATATCAAGAATTAGTGTAAAAAACAACAAGTCACGTAACAAAATTTCAACTGAAATTCGGATACTTCATTTCAGATTCCGTGTTATTTTGCCTATCATTTAAAAAAAGATTAATGATTTGCTTTCTTCTTTAACTGAAAGTTCGGCAACTCATGTTTATTGAAAGATATAAAAACATACGGTTTTGGCAACGGCTTCGAGGAACCATTCGTGATGTGACTTGCAGTAGATGGTGTCAAATTCTGCAAGAAAGATAACATGGCCTTATATCACATTTATGCAAATGCAAAAACGTATAGTGACGAGAGACTGTCAGTGTGTATGCGTGTATGTGTATTTGTTAGCATTTCTATTACCTACCCAGTTCAGCAGCTGGTGAAGCTAGGAAACTGGAATTTTTGGTGCAAATCCCATTCTAAGTGCGGTGCTCCACTTTTATGCGTCTTTGTTGTGCAGCGCTATAGCGCTATAGCTGCAGCGCTGCACAACTATAACTGCAGCGCTATAGTTTTTGCTACAGCCAGCAAAAACACATACTGTCGAGAGGCTGCCTTTGTGTGTGCGCGTATGTTCGGAAAGCGAGTGCATGTTGTCACCCCCTTTAGTCTCAGCAACCAGGAAAGCTGGGAGGCTGAAACTTTGGATATATATTTCTACCCCGTGTGTCATCCTCCCATTTTAAGATCTTTCCCCTTATGCGCCTAGATCCCGCGTACGGGACCACCAAATAAATATGTTGGCGGGAAACGATTTTGCGAACCAGGCAACGTAGAAAGCTGAAACTTTGCAAAGAATAAAATCAGCTCTCTAGCTCCCAACCACAGCCTCAAGTAGCTCCTGAGTTCAAAAATCGTTAGCAACTCAGGCCTGAACCGCAATCGTATACGTAAAGGAACGTAATTTTTTGAAAAACGACCGTTCGAGCAATACTTTCAATTTTTAATGAACTGAAAATTTGCATATTT